TATGTGCCTTACATACTCGGTACATTATTCGTATTGACGTCCCTTTTGCCTGGGGACGCTGCGCTTCATGCCCGCAGGTCCCGATAGACAGGTTGAGAGCCCTCCAATTAGGTTATCAGCTCAGCAGAAGATGTTGGTGCGCTCCATTTGCTTCGGAGTTGCTCGTTTAGTTAGTATGATTTAGATGTGTATTGTTTGGTATAGCGGGACCCTGTCCCGACCTTTATGACATTTATGTATTCTTAGAGGCTTGTAGACATATATCGTGTACGTAAATGATTGTACGGACTTGTCAGCCTATATTTTGAGTTTATAAAGGATCATGTTGGCCTATTAGGCCCGTATGTCATGTGTATATGATGATGTAATAAGAAAGATACGTTATATTGGTACTCGGTTGAGTAAGGTACCGGGTGCCCATCGCGGCCCATCGGTTTGGGTCGTGACAAAAGTGGTATCCGAGCAGTTCTGTCCTAGAGAGTCTACAAGCCATGTCTAGTAGAGTCTTGTTTATGGGTGTGTCGTGCACCACACTTATAAGCAGGAGGCTACCGGGCATTTAAGACTGTCACTCTTTCTTCTTACTTTATATCGTGTGGTAGAGCTCACTTATAAGAATTCAAGTCCCGAGCTTCTATTTTTATTCGTACTAAGACAATGCCTACGTTCAAAAAGATGATCGATAAGAGATATAGCTGTGAAAGTGTTGAATTAGAGGAACTCGACTTTGTATCATGCTTATGATAAGTAAATATGAGGTCTTCAGCAGATCATGTGCGTACTGAAAGGTGTAAGCCTCTTGATAAGGAGCCTTAAGGCAAGAATACATATCCACCTTTATGGTGAAAGACAATGAGAGATTAAGAAGATAAATACAAGTTTCAACAAGCAAAAGAAGCAAGATGAATAAGGGTACGAGGCGCCCAGTTTAATGAAGGTTAACAACGTTTATAATTGAGGCAGAGGAACATACATTTTTTAAGTTATATTCAACAGTAACAGAGGTATGTAAAATTGGCCGTACCCATCTCAGTTATGCCCTATGGTGGCTAATAGGTGTAATTTAAGAAAAGGACGGAACATCAGGACCTGGCTGGGGTTAGAGTAAACCAAAATGGTGAATGTATTATTTGTGTTAGTTGACATTTCCGAAGGACATTGCAAGTGTGCTAGTAGATCTCCTCGTGAGACACCTAGATGGCGCACCCTAAAATATTAAAGCTAGATATGAGCACTGGAAGCCTTGAAGTAATAAATATTTCTTTAGTGTGGCTCCCGCCCCTAGTAAAGAAAGATTGTTAGGCAATTGAAAGAGCAAGTGAATGGGGCAAAGAGGAGCTAAAAGCGAAAGAATGTCGTATTGAAGTTTTCACAAAAAAAAAAGGATATGCAGAAATATTAGCAAAGTAATGAGAAGAGAGATAAGGAAGCATTATGAATAAGGTGTGATACATGGATAAAAATGGTAGAGTGTTACAGAACCTATAGTCAAATGAAGGAAGAGACGAAAAGTAATGGGCCTCAAGACAATGATAGAGTATAGGCCATAAGGTTATATCCTCATTTCGAGAAATAAGTTTGTGACTCCAACGCAACTACCAGAGGGGAGAGTTAATCCACATAGTAACAGAAATCAGTATGGATTGGTAAACAAGATAAACTAAATATGAATTAGGGACTGAATGATTGAAAAGTATTTGGCATCATGGGAATTTCAAATTTCATTCCGGCAATAATAGGATGGACAACAGAAGTATTACATTACTGTGATGTTACACTTCGAGTAGTAAGTTACGACAATGTTGCACCCTGCAGTATTTTACGTTGAATTTGTCGTAAGGTAATTGACATCAGTCCAAAGAAAAGATTATTTGGGGATTATAAGGATTATTCTATTTCACAAATAATTAGTAAATTCATGAAGGTGAAAGGGGGAGCAAATCTAAGAAAACAAATTTTTGTCAAAGTTTATAAAGGATCATGTTGGCCTATTAGGCCCGTATGTCATGTGTATATGATGTTGTAATAAGAAAGATACGTTACGTTGGTACTCGGTTGAGCAATGTACCGGGTGTCCGTCGCGGCGTATCGGTTTGGGTCGTGACACGACACTTGTTATGTAGTCCATACATTATTCGTGGATTTTAAATGGTAAAAAAAATCGAACTTCAACTGTTTGTAATCTTAATCCAGAATTGCACGAGGCTCTGAAATTCTATTGGAGCAAAAAAGTATTTTATAGTTTCCAGGAGCAATTAATTAGGGCTTTTGATTGGGGCTACTAATTTTTTTTTGTTCTTCTAAATTGGAAGGTAGAGGTCTGGATTTTTTGGATGGTCGGCGACAGGGATATTATTTTGCTGGAGAAGAGAAAGAGTGTCACGGCCCCAAAACCGACCAGATCGTGATGACGCCTATCATGAAATTAGGTCAGCCGACACAAATCCTAAAACTTAACTAGTATTTTATAAAAATTATTTTTAAGCTATTAATTAACAGAATCTCATAACATAAATCTAGATAACCAATGCGGAAAAATAACACAAGCCCGATATTGGGGTGTCACAAGTCACGAGCAACTACAAAATCTGTCTAAGTACAAGAAAAACTACCATAGTCCGGAAATAAAATACTAAAAACAGTCTAAGAAAGGTAAGAAGGAGAAGTGCAGGGTTGCGAACACCAGTCAGCTACCTTGCCAACTCCGAAGACCTGCTGGAACAATGATCAACACTCACTATCGCGACCCGCAACTCCTGGATCTGCACACAAGGTGCAATGAGTAATGTGAGTACGCCAACTCAGTAAGTAATAAAAGTAAATGAAAGCTGAGCAGTAAAAAAATAGATAATTCCACGTCATAGCACCATAGCTAATACAACATATTTCCAAAATAGTATCGAAATCAATTATCCCATAAAACAATGCAATTTCAGTAAAACTTTTTCTTTTAAAAACATCTTTCAATAGTTTCAAACAAGGGATGAAGCAGTGAGTAAAAATGATAGAAACGTAAACAACCCCTCGGGCATAACATGTATCATAAACCGTCCCTCGGGCAAAATATCAACAAAACCAGCCCCTCGGGCTATCTCACAATCACTCGTAATCGGCCCCTCGGGCAATAACATGAATCAACAACAGCCCCTCAGGCAACATCACATCACTCACACTAGGTACCCACACTCATTGGGGTGTTCAGACTTAGGAGGGGCTCCTACAGCCCAAGCGCTATCACAAGCCATCTCATGGCATAATAAATCAGGCCCTCGGCCTCTCATATATTACAAATCAGTACAACATGCTGTGACACGCAGCCCGATCCCCTGATATCCTTACAACACAGGCCCTCAACCTCACTCAATCAGAAACCTCTCAAGCCACTTGGGCAACAGTAAAACAGGATGCTCAGCCCAAAATATCATTTAAAGTATCAAAACGGAGTAAATACGGCTGAGTTGTGAAATCAGTAAAACACAACATGACTGAGTACAGATCTTAAGTCAAAATAGTGAGGAATAATAGTTAAAAGCCCTATGGGTCCAAACAGTTGGCACGAGGCCCAAATATGGCATTCAGCCCAAAAGATAGTAATACTTTCCAAAACACAATAGTATCAAATAGTTTTCAATCAAATACATGACTTAATAGTCGTACGGGATGGACCAACTCACAATATCTAACGGTGCATGCCCACATGCTCGTTATCTAGCATGTGTGTCACATCAAAGTAGCACAACGATGTAAAATTCGGGGTATCATACCCTTAGGACAACATTTACAATCATTACTTACCTCAAACAGGACAAAACTCTAGCCCGCGATGCCCTTGCCTCTTGAATTGGCCTTCAAATGCTCCGAATCTAACCAAAATCAGTATCACATCATTAATACACACTAAAGGAACAAAGCCCAAGCAAAAATAATCAAATTCACTCAAAAATCCCGAAATTGGCCAAACCCGTCCCTCGGGCCCACGTCTCAAAATCCAATAAAAATCACATCACTAGAATCCTTTTCCTCCCACGAGTCCATACACACCAAAAACATCAAAATCGGACCTCAAATGGCCCCTCAAATCCCCACTCAAAGTTCTCCAAAACTCAAGCCCTAGCCTTCTATTTTAACCCTTAAATCCCACTAATTTTATGTCTAATTAGGTAGAAATCACCATAGAATCGAGTATTGAATTCAAAAATTTTGCCTCCATGTGTTACCCATTGAATCCCTCTTCAATTCCTCTCAAAAAGCTCCAAGTCCGAACACAAATGGTGGAAAAATGACCAAATTTTGTGAAGACCTCTATTTATACTTTCTGCCCAGCAAAATCGCACATGCAATACCAATGTCGCATCTGTGGTCTGCACTTGCAGACAAATCTCCACTTCTGCGGATTTTCATTAACTAGCCAAACTCTGCTTCTGCGGTCGCCTAACCGCATATGCGGGGACCTAACCGCACCTGCGATTCCTCTGCGCGCCTGTGCCTCAATATCTCTCCTGCGAAGCTCGCACCTGCGGTCCCTAATCCGCAGGTGCGGATATGACAGAAGCAGCACACCAGTTGCATTTCCTCAAGTCTAAACTTTTTCAAAAACCATCCGAAATCATCCTGAGGCCCCCGGGACCCCAACCAAAAATACGAGCAAGTCACAAACTATTATTCCAACTTATTCTAACCTTCGGAACATTCAAAACAACACCGAAACACCCAAAACAACATTGAAACACCAAATCACTCTCGGATTCAAGCCTAAGGATTTCCAAACTTCCAAATTCCGTAACTGATCCAAAAACCTATCAAACCTCATCTGAATGACACGAAATTCTGCACACATGTCATAAATGACACAAGACCTACTCCAACTTTCGGAATTCCAATCTAACCCCGATATCAAAATTTTCACTACCGATCGGAAAACACCAAATTTCCAATTTCGCCAATTCTAGCCTAAATCTACCACGGACCTCCAAAATACATCCTGATCATACTCCTAAGTCCCAAATCACCTAAAGAAGCTATCCGAACCATCAAAATTCATATCCGAGACCTTCTACCCATAATCCAACATCCGGTTGACTTTTCAAACTTAAGCTTACTCAAAAGAGACTAAATGTCTCATTCCTCTACAAAACCACACTGAACCTAAACCAACCAACACAATACGATGAAATACAATGAAACAACACATAAAGAAGCAGAAATGGGGGAAACAGAGCGGTAACTCATGAAACAACCGGCTAGGTCGTTACATCATCCCCCTCTTAAAAAAACATTTGTCCTCGAACGAGTCAATAAATATACCTAAAGCCTCAAACAGGTGGGGATATCTGCTCCGCATCTCCCGCTCGGTCTCCCAGGTAGCCTCCTCCATGGGCCGACCTCTCCACTGCACTTTCACTGAAGCTATATCCTTTGATCTCAACTTTTGGACTTGCCGCTCCAAAATAGCCACTGGCTCCACATCATAAGTTAAATCACTGTCTAACTAAATCGTGCTGAAATCCAAGACATGAGACGGGTCACCAATATACTTTCGGAGCATAGAAACATGAAATACCGGATGCATACTCGACAAGCTAGGTGGCAAGGCCAACTCATAAGCCACCTCCCCAATCCTCTGAAGCACCTCAAAAGGCCCAATAAATCGAGGACTCAATTTACCCTTCTTCCCAAATCTCATAACACCCTTCATGGGTGAAACCTTCAGTAGAACCTTCTCCCCAACCATGTAAGACACATCACGGGCCTTCTTGTCAGCATAAGTCTTTTGTCTCGATTGAGCTGCACGAAGCCGCTCCTGAATCACTTTCACCTTGTCCAAAGCATCCTGCACCAAGTCTGTACCCAAAAGCCTAGCCTCGCGTGGCTCAAACCAACCAACTGGAGATATACACCGACTCCCATATAAAGCCTCATATGGAGCCATCTGAATACTTGACTGATAACTGTTGTTATATGCAAACTCCGCAAGTGGTAGAAACTGATCCCATAAACCCCCAAAATCAATGACACAAGCATGCAACATGTCCTCCAATATCTGAATAGTTTGCTCGGACTGCCCGTCCGTCTGAGGGTAAAAAGTTATGCTCAACTCAACCTGAGTACTCAACTCTCGCTGCACGACCCTCCAAAACTATGAAGTAAACTGAGTACCTCTATCTAAAATGATGGAAACTGAGACATCATGCAAGCGAACAATCTCTCAGATATAAATCTCTGCTAACCGCTCTAAAGAATAGGTAGTACACACCCGAATGAAGTGCGCAGACTTGGTCAGCTGATCCACAATCACCCAAATAGCATCAAACTTCTTCAAGGTCCATGGGAGTTTAACTACAAAATCCATGGTGATCTGCTCCCACTTGCACTCTGGAATATCTAACTGCTGAAGCAAGCCACCCGATCTCTGATGCTCATACTTCACCTGCTGACATTTGAGACACCGAGCTATGTATCCCACAATATCCTTCTTCATTCTTCTCCCCCAATAATGATGTCTCAAATACCGATACATCTTCGCGGCACCCGAATGGATGGAATACCGCGAGCTATGGGCCTCCTCCAGAATTAACTCTTGAAGCCCATCTACAGTGGGCACACATATCCGGCCCTGCATCCTCAATACCCCATCATCACTAATAGTCACATCTCTAGCATCGTTGTGCTGAACTCTATCCTTAAGAACAAGCAAATGAGGATCATTATATTTGCACTCTCTGCGATCAAACAAAGAAGACTGAGAAACCATACAATCTAAGACCCGATTGGGCTCCGAAATATCCAACCTTACAAACCGATTGGCCAAGGCTTGAATATAAATTACAAGATGTCTTTTCCGAGCAGGAATATATGCCAAACTGCCCATACTTACCGCCTTCCTACTCAAAGCATCGACCACTACATTGGCCTTCTCCGGATAGTACAAGATAGTGATGTCATAGCTATTTAGCAGCTCCAACCATCTCCGCTGCCTCAAATTGAGATCCTTCTACTTGAACATGTGCTGGAGGATACGATGATCAGTAGACACATCGCAAGACACACCATAGAGATAATGCCTCTAGATCTTCAACGTGTGAACAATGGCAGCCAACTCTTGATCATGAACAAGGTAGTTCTTCTTATGGGGATTCAACTGACGAGAAGCATAAGCAATCACTCTACCCTCCTGCATCAACACACACCCAATACCAACTCTCAAAGCATCACAATACACTGTATATGAACCTAAAGCTAATGGAAAAACTAACACGGGAGATGTGGTCAAGGCAGTCTTGAGCTTCTGAAAGCTCGCCTCACACTCATTCGACCACATGAAAGGCGCACCCTTTTGAGTCAATTTGGTCAAGGGTGATGCAGTAGATGAAAATCCCTGAACGAACCGATGGTAATAACCCGCCAAACCAAGAAATCTGTGAATCTCTATAGCTGAGGATGGTCTGGGTCAATTCTGGACCACCTCTATCTTCTTCGGATCAACCTGAATATCCTCAATGGACACCACGTGCCCCAAGAAAGCCACTGAACTGAGCCAAAACTCACACTTGGAGAACTTTGCATAAAGCTTCTCCTCCATCAACTACTGCAATGCCACACTCAAATGCTCTGTATGCTCCTCCTGACTACGCGAATATACCAGAATATCATCAATGAGTACAATAATAAACGAGTCGAGCTAAGGCCAAAACACGGTGTTTAACCAATTGCATGAACGTTGCTGGGGCATTGGTTAGCCTAAAAGACATAACAAGGAACTCATAATGACCATATCGAGTCCTGAAAGCTTTCTTAAGAATATCCGAGTCCCTAATATTCAACTGGTGATACCTTGAATGGAGATCAATCTTGGAGAACACTCTCGCTCTCTGAAGCTGGTCAAATAAACCATCAATACGAGGCAAATAATACTTGTTATTCATTGTAACTTTGTTTAGCTACCTATAATCAATGCATATCCTCATAGTGTCATCCTTCTTCTTCACGAATAGAATAGGCGCACCCTACGGCGACACACTAGGTCAAATAAACCCCTTAGCAAGGAGTTCGTGAAGCTGCTCCTTCAACTCCTTCAACTCCGCCGGTGTCATACGATACGGTGGAATAGAAATGGGATGAGTGTCCGACACCAAATCATTACCAAAATCGATATCCCTGTCTGATGGCATGCCCGACAGGCTTGCAGGAAACACATCTTGGAATTCCCTCACTATCGGGACTGAATCAATGGTAGGAGTCTCTGCACTGACTTCCCTCACAAAGGCTAAGTAAGAGAGACAACCCTTCCCAACCATCCACCGGGCCTTCAAAAATGAGATCACCCTACTGGAGACAAAATCAGTCGAACCTCGCCACTCAATCCGTGGCACACCCGTCAAAGCCAACGTTACTGTCTAAAATAGCACGACACAAAGATAACCAGTCCATGCCTAATATCAAATCAAAGTCCACCATACAAAGCAACAAAAGGTCCACTCGGGTCTCCAAGCCCCTATTAGTCACCACACACGATCGATATACGCGGTCCACGACAACATTATCACTCACCGGAGTTGATACACGACTAGATGAAACAAGAGACTCACGGGGCATGTCACACCTCCTTTTTTACACACCCGAAGGGTATATAAGAGAGTTTTCCAATTAAAGTGACATTATTCAAAATGGGATTATTTTGTTTATCAGAGTCGCCACTTGGAATAGTTTATTTGGTGTCCCAAGTCACCGGTTTAGTTTAAAATCCCAAATCGAGGAAATTCGACTTTTATTTTTAAAGTCTGTGAACCAGAAATTCTAGATAAGGAATTCTGTTAACCCGGGAGAAGGTGTTAGGCATTTTCGGGTTCCGTGGTTCTAGCACGGTCGCTTAAACTATTAAAATTGGCCTATTATCTGATTTATTACATGTTTTAACCTATTGTGCATTTTTAGCTTATTAACCACTTTTAATTATTTTAAAACACTTTTAGGAAGATTCAACTTTATTTAAAACATGCCTTGAACGATGCCACTTGAAATGCACCCGCGGTTAGCGACACGCTCTATTTAATATTGTTAAAATTGAAATTGGGTCACATGAAATGTACACCCAAATTTAGTAATTAAAAGAAAATCAATTTAAAGAACGCGCCTAAAGCAACTACGAAGGTTCAAATTAATAACAACGTTTGCGAGGGCCATGAAAAATTTGACGGCGCACCTCGATTTTGAAAAGAGTTAGTATTAATTACATGAGGGCCATGAGTTATATAATGAAAATGGCACACCTCAAATTTTCTATAAAAGCTAGCTAGTTTTATGAGGGCCGTGGACTTAGGGATTTTATTTGGCATGGCACGCCTCAATTTATTTCAAAAGATTTTATTATTCGAAGTTGTTATAATCGAGTCACATGAAATGCACCCCCGAATTTTGGAAATTAGGCATCATAACTATGTGAATTTTAAATTCCAATTTACGAACAAAATTCAATACACTACTTATCATTCCCTATCATTCCCTTTGGCAGTGAGAAAACGATTTTCGAAATAATAGGAACCAAATTAACTTTTAATAGAAATCCAAAAAATAAAAATAAATACTATGGAGTAAAATGGCCAGAACTAAATAAATCAAGATATCCTTGACCAAAGCTTCACCTAGAGAAAATCTTTGAAATTTCTTATAAATTAAAACTCATAAGGAAAACAGTTTTTTATAACTTTGTATGATACTCCAAATTTCTAATGACTTCATCAAGAATTTTAACCCAGAAGAATTAGAAGACTATGGGTCAATATCATGTTTAATGTCACATAACAACACATGGAGTTAAACTTGAAATAAGGGAAGGATAAGAGTGAAACCTCTGGTGCGAGACTTCTTTATTAAACAAGAGAAAATCCAACAGCTACAAATGAATTTGATGCCGCTAACTCGACTAAAAATACTCCAAATTGGCAACAAAAACCGCGAACAATCGACGGAACCAACAAACCTACGGCCTCGAATAGGAACTCGACTACCAGATTTTTCAAAAATCGGATCTCTCAACCAAATCGTATTTTTTTTTTGTTGCTCATCGTTGAATTGATTTCTCACTTTAAGAAAGACCTTGGAGGCCCTTTGTTCTAATGGTTTTAATAATGAGAAAATTAATGGAATCCTCTGTTCCAAAGTGTTGTCTCTCACTATCAATTCATCTCCTCTTTGTATTTTCCGTTTCTGTTTCGCCACCTGCTTTTCTCATCTTTTTTTTGTTATGTTTGTGTGTGTGAGCTTCCGTAAATTGCGAGAATGAAGCTTTGAGATTTTGCAATTTTGGAATCGGCTGAAGCTTTTAGAAAATGGGGAGGTCTATTGTGTTTGGTTGAAAAAATGGGGGAAGGCTTCTCTTTGTTTGGAATTACAGCTGACGAAATTTTTTAAGAAAACAGCGTTGATCCTTTAGCTTTTCCCTAGGTTTTCGTTCTTTTTTGTTTCCTTTTTTTTGGCTGATTATCATTTGTGTGAAGATAGGTCTTTCATTTTTCGTTTTTTTTCTTTTCTTCCATTTTTTCAGAGAAGTGGCGGATTGGGTTGTGTGTAGAGTCTAAGGTGTTAGTGTTATTTTGTAAGGGGTAGGAATTAGGTTAGGGGTATGGGCCTAGAAATTATGGGCTTAGGAGTTATGGGCTAGGTTAAAAAATTTGGCCTAAAAACGGGTTGCTCGAGCCCAAGTTTTATTCTTTCCCTGCGAATGAGATTAAAATACGATCTCATTTATTATTAGTCCTACTTAAGTAAAATAACTGTTAAAATAAGATTGACCGTTAAAATAAAACTTTTTTTGGTATTTTTCAAGATTAAAAATGATTACAAAATATTAATGAAACTATTTTTGTAATTTTCATTTTCTTGTAATTAAAATAAAGTGACGGTGTAAAAATTAGTTGAAATAGCTATATTAGGCCTAAATTAAATATTTACGTGCTAAAATATGAAAAATCTTAGGGAGGGTCAAAAATCACATGTCTATATCCAAATAACGAGCAAAATATGATGACACATATGAAAAAGTGTAACCAGGATCAAATAACACAGAGGTATCTCTGTGGCAAACTGAGACAATACCTGTAATCACAACATCTGAAGCAATAACATCGGGTCTAGCTGGGACTACATAGAAACGGGCCTGACTACCACCTGATCGACCTCCCCCCTAGCTAACTGTCCTCTACCCCTACATGGGTGGGTGGGTAGTGAAGTAACTAGTGCTGAAGTCGATGGCTGACTCCTCTGCTAAGACGAACCCCCAAGATGACGAGGACACTGTCTCCACATATGCCCCAACTCTCCACACTCATAACAAACCCTAGGTGCTGGAGACAGGGACTGAAGGGAACCCCTAGAATTACGATGACTAGTAGAAGAACCTGGCATGGAAGAGCCCTAAACTGATGGAGCACGGGATGAACTCTGGCATGGAAGGGCACAAAGTTATGAATGGCCCTGATGAGAACTGTGAGAACCATGGCCCAATGATGCCCCACGATAAACTGGGCATGCTGACTGAGCATGCCTGAATGGACGGCCTCTACCGTGCTGAAACTAACCTTCATGAGAAGAACCACTGAATCCACCCTGACCACGACGCCTATAATCCTCCCTCTCAACCCTCTTCTGACCACAAACTATCTCAATCTGTCGAGCTATGTCAACAACCTCATCAAAGGTAGCACCAGATACTTTCTCTAGTCATGAGCAACCGAAGCTGAAAACCGAGTCCATCTATAAACCTCTTGATCCTCTCTCGGTCTGTGGGAACCAACCAGACCACATGACAAGCCAACTTGGAGAACCGCATCTCATACTATGTAATAGATCTGTCACCCTGACGAAGCTACTCAAACTGCCTGCACAGCTCCTCTCGGCGAGACTCGAGTACAAACTTCTCCAAAAAGAGAACGGAGAACTACTATCAAAAAAGGGGCGCTGCGCCAACCGGTCTATGCCTCTTGTAAGCTACCACCAACTAAGTGCAGCCCTGGAGAACTGGAAAGTAGTGAACGAGACCCCACTGGTCTCCAAAATACCCGTGGTCTGAAGCATCCTTTGCACTTGTCTAAGAAACCCTAGGCATCCTCGCCCTCTGCACCACTGAAAGTTGAAGGCTGAAGTCTCCCAAAACTCTCCAATCTGCGTTGCTCGTCCTCTGGCATAACTGGAGCTGCATAGTCCTGAGCAATTGCAACTGGCTAAACTAGAGGTTCCCTCGGTGTCTGAAGTCCCTGCACAACCTGCTCAGGTGTGCGAGCGGCAGCAGTTTGATTGCCTCTCCTGTCCTGAGAAGTAGTTGTGGCTGTAGTAACTAAGATCGCCTGAGCTAGGCCAGTGCACACTGATAGAATCTGGGTCAGGGCCTTCTAAAGGCCTGGTTTAACAATAGGCACAGCTGGTGCTTGAGATGGGACTGTTGTAGCGTCCGCAACTTGGACCTGATCATGAACTAGGGCGGCTGGTGGATCTACAGGTACTACCCTAACTGCTGTGCGAGTTACACCCGTGCCCCTACCACGGCCTCGACCGCATCCCCGTCCTCTAGTGGCCCCAACTGGTGGTACTGGTGGTCGTACATCCTAACCGGTAGCACGTGTCCTCATCATCTGTGAGAGAATGGAATAACAGAAGTTTATTTACCAGAATCAATAGCTTCGCACGACAGGAATTCAAGAATGTGAAATTTTTCCTAAAGGTTCTACAGCCTCCCGAGGATAACTACAGACGTCTCCGTACCGATCCGCGACACTCTACTAAACCTGCTCATGACTCGTGAGACCTATGTAACCTAGTCTCTGATACCAACTTGTCATGACCCTAAAACCGACCCGGTCGTGATGGCGCCTATTGTGAAACTAGGCCAGCCGACACAAACCCCAAAACTCAACCAGTATTTCATAAAAGGCATTTCATACAAGTAAATTCTGTATTTTGAGGCCTTAAAACCTCTTTTTGTCCCACCTCGATTTGCATGCACAGTCCAGGCGCATTTCTGGAAAGCTGTTATATGAAATCAAAGAAAAATAAGGAAAATGACCTTTAAAATTTAATAAAGTTGACTTTGGTCAACATGCTTGGTAAACGGACCTGGACCCGTGATCCAACGGTCTCGTAGGGTCTTTAGTAAAATATGAGACTTGGGCGTATGCCCGAAATCAAATTTCGAGGTCCCAAGACCGATAAATAAATTTTTAAAGAAAATTATTTTCTGGAAAATATAAAGGCTTTTAGAAGTGAATTGATGTAAATTCTTGATGTTATCGAGCCCATATCTTGGTTCCGGATCATGGTACAAGTTTGAATAATAATTAAGTTGAATCTGTGAAGTTTGGTAAGAATCGGAGTTCGTTTGGTATAAATCGGACCTTTATTTGAGAAAACAGTAATTTCAATGTTCTTGAGTGATTTCATGAATTTGAGGTTTAATTCATAGTTGTTGATGCTATTTTGATGATTTAATTGCAAGAGCAAGTCCGTATAATGTTTTTGGACTTGCGTGCATGTTTGGTTTGGAGCCCCGAGGGCTCGGGTAAGTTTTGGATAGGCAACAAAGTGAAACTGGACTTAGGAAAAGTTGCTAGTATCTGGTATTTTTGCCCAGGCCTCTGATCTCGCAATTGCGAGATCAGGCTTCGCAATTGCGAAGTTCTTAGGCAAGGGAATTGCGACCCAAGTGTCGCAAATATGAACCTAGCCTAGGCAGTCCTTGGTCGCAAATGCGACCCTGTTATTGCAAATGCGAAAAGGGTTGTGTCGCAAATGCGACTAACCCCTCGCAAATACGAAGGCAACAAGTTCTAAAGGGGTTCGCAATTGCGAACCCTGGTCGCAATTGTGACATCTGAGACTAGTTAATTTTGATTTTGACGGGATTTCAGTCATTTTTACAACTCTTCAAACCCTAAAAACATCTTAGGCAATTTTTCAAAGACATCAACTTCTCCAAACCATTAGTAAGTCATTTCCAACTCATTTTCTTTAATCTATAACATCTTTTCACATGATTTCAATTCAAAATCAAGGGTTTTTATGGGGGAAAGTGGGTGTTTTGGGTAGAACTTAGAATTTTCAAATTTTGGGGATTTGGACCTCGATTTGAGATCTGATTTCAAAAAAAATATATATATATTTGAGTTCGTGGGTGAATGGGTAATCGGGTTTTGGTTCGAACCTCAGGTTTTGACCATGTGGGCCCGGGGTTGATTCCTGACTTTTTCGGAAAAGTTTTAGAAAACCTATTTTCATGCATTAGAATTTATTTATTTAGCATTTTATGATATTGTTAAGTAAATTGTGGCTAGATGCAAGCAAATTGGTGGTGGAAATAAGCGGTAAAGCGGTAGTTGAGGCTTGAATTGTATTTGTGGCATTGATGTAAGTGTTTGGTCTAACCTTAGCTTGAGGGATTAGGAGTTGTGTCTTATTTGCTATGTGTTAATTCTTGAGTACGACGTATAGGTGTGGTGACGAGTATCTATACATCGGTGTTGAGTATGCCCGTGAGTCTTATACTATGATCGATGTGACTCTGTTTCGTATTGTTCATGCTTTATATGATGATTTCTATTGTTGACAAGGCTTATTGGAGTATTATTGGTGATTGAACATTATAGATTATTGGCTCATGTTGAGAATTGAGTTTGAAGTAATTGTGGAAAAGAGAAGAGGTTTATGATATTATCTCCCTTGCCGAGATGTTATTGCTTTTGATAGATCTCCCTTGACGGGATGTTATTACTCATGATATTGTTTTTCCTTGCCGGGATATTGTTATTATGCTATTGTTCCCTTGCTGGAATTCTATTGTGATTTTATTGATTCCCTTGCCCGTATTGCCTTGTTATTATTGCTTGGGTAAGGAAGAGTGTAAAACCATGAAGGGTGATGCCGTGTATGATATTTGTGATAGAGTGTTAATGCACGAAGGGTGATGTCGTGCCAATATTGTGAGGTAAAAACACGAAGGGTGATGTCGTACCGCACGATGTACAATATCGTGCCATGATATGAGTGAAAATGCAAGAAGGATAATTTCGTGCCATGATTATGTTAGGTAAAAACATGAAGGGTGATGCCGTGCCGATTATATTGATTCTTATAGTGAGGACGAGAGTAAAAGCATGAAGGGTGATGCCGTGCACTTATCATTGATTTCCTTATTTTTGCTTACAGTTGAATTTTTAGTGTTCCGTATGTTTCCTTACTAGATTTCTGTTTGTACATGATATTTCCCCCGAGCATGTTTTCCCCTTGCCATCTTTAACTGCTAGTTTCTATCATTATTACTTAATGTATATGATATAAATGCACAAGTTTATTTGGTAGTCTTGTCCTAGCCTCATCACTACTTCGCTGACGTTAGACTAAGCACTTACCAGCACATGGGGTTGGTTGTGCTGATACTACACTCTGCACTGCGTGCAGATCCTAATGCTGCAACTTTTGGACCACAGTGACGTTGCTGTCTTTAGTCCAATAGCGGAGACCCGAGGTAGTCCAGTAGGCGTCCGTATGCCTTGACTTCTCCTTCTATCTTTCCATTCTGTTTCTTTTATGTATTTCAGAGACAACTTTGTATTTATCT